CATTCCATGTTCTAGCCGAAAGTAGTCCCTGATGTGCAAAGATAATGCAAAGCAAACAAGTCAGTGAAGACAACCCTACCTCATCTCATCTCTTTCACACTACGCCTGGGTTACAAGAAACTCTCTCCTTTCACACAGACCCATCACTTTATGGTTGACAACTGATTGACATCGTTGTCATTTAACTGGCATCCTACTCCCATTATTCTACAGTCGTTCTCTTTTTCCTTGTAAAAGTTGTAGTTCCATTGGTTGGTTTTCCTCGACGACTGAGAGACTAGGCCATCGTCAAAAGTAACCTGTGGACCCTTTCGACAAAATCATCCATGCCTCCACTCGTTCTTAATTTGTTCTTAAACCGTGCTCGACCTTGACTCTCCTTGTACAAAGGATGCTTTTGTTTGCTTTGACCAGGATAATCATTCTTCTTTTGAGATTTACTTATCATTATGTATGTAAGCTTCCTTTGCATGCTTTAATAATACAGATGGTTACGTCATCAGATTATGAACCTCAACTATCCATGCATGAATATTTGAGCGATCAGTATCTCAGAAAAAGAAAGTAGATTAAAGTGAGCTTTGTGGTGAGTAGATTAAAGTGAGCTTTGAGGTGATTATTCCACTTGAATGGATATATATTTCCTGGCGTTAAAGCTATTTAAGCTATGTTGCGCAAACGCAAACACAAATAAAGAGATACGCGACAATGATAGTAGGATCTAGGATGGGCTTGGGGTAGATTCTAGGCTTCATATTTAATAAAAATGAAAACTAATGAAAATGATTTGAAAATTTTGAATTTTAATGATAAGGACAAAATAAAGGTAAAGTGAATAGTATCATGATTGACTTTTTAATGTAAAAATATAATTTTGCATTAAATTGAACAGTACCGAGAGAATTTTTCGTTAAAGTTCCTTTTATGAAAATATTTACATGATTCATGTTTTAGCATATTCTCTAGATTCATGTTTCCTAGATAACATATATACATATGAGTCCATGACCAAGGACATATATATATCCTTTAGATAATTCCTCGGAAGTGGTGATTAAACAAACAGCTTTTGCTCTCCTTTTTACTTTTGGAAAAAATGGCTTTAACTTTGCATATGCCTTGCTGCTGGGTATGTCTATGCAAATTACACTCCGCGCAAAGACAATATGTTCTGCAATCTTCACCCCAAACCGTGAGGTATTTATATCATTGACTACTGACAAGAAAAGGAGGAAACCACGTACGGTGCTTGCACGCATGCATGCCAGATGTGCTTTGAGGAGATGCAAAAGATGCAGTTGCATAAGGTCCCAAATTTGAAGAGACCTTCAAAATTTGTCACCTAATATTTATATGTAATAATATTATATTTAAAATTACTTTTGTTATAAAATAATGTTCTATATTCAAAATTGATTTTGTTAGCACTTTAAAATCTTATCTTACACTCTTTATAAGAGTAATATTTTTCCTTTCTAAATATAAAAATTTGGAATACAATAAGAAATTTTGAGTGCTAAAAATACACCATAAAAGACGGTATTTTTTTCAATATTATTATGTAATAATGTTACATATTCAAGTGAAACTTTAAAGTTAGAGTTTTTGAAGTTTGTTTTCTTGTTTGGTTGTTTAAGATTGAACTGCTTGTGATTGTTTAGTGAACGTTATATTTGTAGCTCTTTTTACTTATTATTAATGGTATTTTTAAACTTGCAATCAGTGAGTGCTAAACTTTGTTTTGATTTAAGTGATTGTTTTCTAGCGTCAATACATTGTCTTACATTTGTTAAGACTATCTTAAGGAGGGTAGCTTTTATAAATTTCGCACAAGGCCCTCAAAATCTTAGAGACGCCCCTGATGCATTCTATTGCTAATGACAATTGTTCACAGCATGCAGCTGGTAATTGTCATCAGTCCATACATTGCAAGATCTAGTCACCAATGTCCGTGTATGGATAACTATCGTTGTAACATTATCAGAAGCGAAGAATGTCACACATCAAAAAGTTAAGGAATCTTATGATTATCAAACGTTATTTAAGATTTCTAATGTGTTTTTGGATGAAATCTCAAACTTTTTCATAATATTAGAGTAACTTGTCTCACTTGACGGTGACGCACTTCACACGTGAGGAGGTGAACCTTGAACGTATGGCTTATATTTCTATATGTATTCTATAGGGTCCTTTTCTTTCTGAAAGTTGATTAATGGTGGTAGGGTTTTGGGTCTGGGGAGGTCAGTAGAAGGTGGTAAATACAAAGGAGACGATAGATGCAACCCTTTGCTGTATATACAGCAGAGAAAAGGGAAAACTCGAACTGTAGGTACAGGATATGTACTACGTACATACACATGCACAGAGTGCATTATTAACACGAAAGAGATGACAGATTGATCAGTTGGGGCTCCCATTTCCAAGCTGCTTGTCTTTCTTTCTTAGCATAGTGAAGTATGAAGTATGATTCTCTTCTTCTTAGTTTTTTTTATCTTTCATCCCTTCTTATTTAAACGGTTGCGATTACGTTACGTCTATATCTTGTTTTGAATTTCTTATATAAAAAATAAGACCAAAAAAAAAATATGAGATGAAAGAATGAAAGAAGATGATAATAAAAGAAAAAAGAATCCTACTCGGTGAAATATTGACGTTGGAGATTTGGAAAAGTGTCTTTGCACGTTGAGGTCTAGTCAGATTACTTCTTTCTTTAACATAAGAAATTAGCCAACTGCATCTTCACGTACAAATACTTTGTCATACTACTTCTTTAACACGATAAAGAAACAAAACAAAAGGGCTTTAGGATTTGTTTTGTCACATCCCGACCCGGGGTGGATCACTTCTCGGGCCCGCTCCACCACCTTAGCACGATATTGTCCGCTTTGGGCTTACCATTCCCTCACGGTTTTGTTTTTGGGAACTCACGAGCAACTTCCCAGAGGGTCACCCATCCTGGGAGTGCTCTAGCTCTCTACTCGCTTAACTTTGGAGTTCCTACGGAACCCAAAGCCAGTGAGCTTCCAAAAGGCCTCGTGCTAGGTAGAGATGGAATATACATTTAAGGATCAGTCCCCTGGGCGATGTGGGATGTCACAATCCACCCCCCTTAGGGGCCCGACGTCCTCGTCGGCACATTTCCGGCCAGGGATAGGCTTTGATACCAAATTGTCACATCCCGGCCCGGGCGGAACCACTTCCCGGGCCCGCTCCACCACCGTAGCACGATATTGTCCGCTTTGGGCCCCCACCATGCCCTCACGGTTTTGTTTTTGGGAACTCACACGAGAACTTCCCGATGGGTCACCCATCCTGGGAATGCTCTCGCGCGCTACTCGCTTAACTTCGGAGTTCCTACGGAACTCGAAGCCAGTGAGCTCCCAAAAGGCCTCGTGCTAGGTAGGGATGGGAATATACATTTAAGGATCACCCCTGAGCGATGTGGGATGTCACATGTTTACAGTCAACAAGAATTTTCGTTTAAACGTTTATTTCCCCTATTATTTGGAATAATTATATCGACTATGGTTTCTTATTTAATTAGATTCTACTTGTTTGAAAACATAATTAATTGGGGAGGTATACGTATTGTTTTTATATTTTTCATCGTGTACTCATCACACACGTAATGATAAATATAGCACAATGAGATATATATAAGGTTAAATGGTTAAAATTTTAATTTGTTAGCGTTTTGGATTGTTGTTTATGTAACATATAATATGTTTTTGGCAGTGTTAACCATAAGATTATGTATATGGGACCATAAAATTGCAAATTAAAGTTAAAGTTTTATTTTCATATATTGGTGCGATCATTTATTTTATGAAGGTCCACATAGGTGTCACTTGAGTTTCACATAGACCCTACATAGATACGCATAATTATGGGAATGAGATCCAGTTCGGATTTCTGTATCTAGAGTTTGAAAATTGTTCAAAAGAGAGAGAAAAAGATCTGGGTCGTTCAAGTTTTTGGGTTGTTGTGAAATGTGCTAATAGGATGAGCTAATGATGGTCGTAAGATTGAAATTAAATGGTTATGATCTCTCATTTTGCAGGCTTAGGACACAAAAATTTGACGCTAATCTCAATCCATATTTATTATATATTGACAAATCACATCCATGCAATTTCAACAATACATTGATTCTAAGAATATGCAATCCTACACATAGAACTTTGTCTATAACTATTTGCTTGAGATAGTGCGATCAGTCATGTGTTTTACACTTACTTTAAGCATCACACATTATACACCATGTATACACGGAATGAGTGTGAGGGAAATATGTAATAACCTAGCTAAAAAATAAAATTGACAACATTGATAAGAAAATATTCAAATTAACTAGACAATACTAAGGGTAGTCATACATGCACAAATTGACAACTCCTAACGATTGATGCAATGAGGCTCCAACATACATGACACATTTACTATTAAGAGTCAAACATCGTGTATAGACGACTAACTGAGCTCAAGAGGTCATACCGTGATTTTTTTTTTCATTCTAAAAGTTGTAAAAGTCCAAAGTACTGACTCAACTCAAAAATTCATACTGTGATTTCTTTTTTTTTATTAAAATTCTAAAAGTCCAAATATGAACTCAAAAGGAAAAGTTATTAGTTTTGCATTAGTATGTTATTCATAGTTATTTTTTTTATTAAAATATGTAAGAATAACTCCTAAGCTTCTCTACGCTTTTTCTCCTTTTAAGGATAAAAATTAGATTTGCAAAGATAGGATTAAGAAACTTCATTTATTAAAACAACAAACAATTTGAACACTAATTTATTGTTCTACCTTTTTAGGTAATTAGAATTCAGAATAATTAATAAATTAGGTTGTAAAAATGTTTTGGGAACAGTGTGGCAGGCAACGGTAACATCCAGTTTGGAAGTTCCTTAAAGGGCAATTTCGGAATATGATAAATTTAACGGAAACCTTTGTTTAAAACCTACCAAAAGCAGAGAGAGAGATATATAAACCCAAAAGGCCAAAGCAAACTCAACAGTGGGCGCCAAGTGCACATTTTTTCTCCTCTCTGTCAATGCTTTCCAAATCTCTCTCCTCAGCATTGAACTCTCTCTCTCTCTCCTCCCTCCCTCTATCCTCTCTCTCTCTCTCTCTCTCTCTCTCTCAGTCCTCCTCTGCCTCCATTGTCATTGACTTTAATCTCTCGCCTTCTCTCTCTGTCTGAATTGGTACAAGTAAATTCCATTTTTGCATTCATTGAGCAAAACCAAGAGAGGATTTTCTCCCAAATCGGTGTTCTTTGATACATTTGGTTAAAGTCCTTTTGGTTTTAGAAGGAAATTAAGGGTTTTGAATTTGGCAGAAGCCATGGCAGCTCCTAAACCAGAAGAGATAAGCCATCCAGCAATGGACCAACTCCAAGGCTTAGAGTACTGCATTGACTCAAATCCCTCTTGGGGTATGTTTATTTTTCATCATTTCTCAAACCCAAATCTCCAATTTTTTTTAGGTTGGGTTTTTGTGCTTTCCCAATTTTGGTTCTCATTTTTTGTTTCTGAAAACAGGGGAAGCAATTGCTTTGGGGTTCCAGCACTACATTTTGGCTCTAGGAACTGCTGTGATGATCCCATCATTCCTTGTTCCTTTGATGGGTGGTGATGATGTGAGTTGATTTTGCATACCATCTTAATTGAATTCTTATTTTGTGGCCTTTGTTTGAAGAGAAATGCTAAGGCGACTCTCTTAAAAGTAAGGCTTTTATGGACTCTCTGTCACTTCATATTTTTGGCACAATATTTTATAATGTTAGCAGTGGCACGGGTTAGCGTTAAACTGTGAGGTGGCAAAGAGTACATTGAGAGTCCCACTTTTAAATGAACCCCCTTCTTGTTTGAATTGGAGATTAAATTCAAGTAGATTTTCAATATTTTTAAATCTTGCTAATTTCTTAAGAAATAATAGTGTAATTTCGCATAGCAAAACTGGTCAAGATTGATTTTTATTTTTATTTGTGGCTTATATATGGATTGATATGGATGATGAATGTGCTCCTTATTTTACTCACATAGCAAAAGTGGTCAAGATTTTATTTTATTTTTATTTTTAAGGATTGTGTACTTTAAATTGATCAGGGTGACAAAGTGAGAGTAGTGCAGACTCTACTTTTTATTCAAGGAATCAACACCCTTCTACAAACTTTGTTTGGAACCCGATTGCCAACCGTAATTGGAGGGTCTTACGCTTTCATGGTCCCGATAATATCCATAATTCACGATTCACGGTTGATGAAGATTGAGGACAATCATGTGGTAAGTTCAATTATTAGCTCACTTGTGCATTTGATTTGGTTTTGTGCAACTAGAAATGTGTGTTATTTCGTTGATAACTGATAGAAACTGCTCTGAGTTCTTTCGTTGACACTTGATAGAAACCAACCGAGTCCATTCTTTCCCCTGCACGAATGCACGAATAAATGTTTTAGATTTGAAGAATTGTGACTGCGAGCGTGCGCTTCTGTATACATGATTTATTTATGAAGTTCATGTAGTTGTATTTAGCTGCCAATTACTTAGTTTGCATTCCTTCATGATCATATTGTAGAGGAAGTTTCTCAAACTGCTACCTTGCTACTAATTTGGCTGTTTATGAAACTTTGGATACAAAAGCTAATGACATTTCATGTATCTCTAGAGATTCCTTGACACCATGAAAGCAGTCCAAGGTGCTCTGATAGTAGCTTCAAGCATACAAATTGTTCTGGGATATAGTCAAATTTGGGCCATCTGTTCCAGGTACAAATTTGATCTCCATATCAACAGCAAGTTTCGATAATCTTCTTTATTTCATATTTAATGAGGGAATCTACATTACTCCGTATAGGTTCTTCAGCCCGCTTGGAATGGTTCCGGTTATTTCCTTGGTGGGTTTTGGCCTGTTTGATAGAGGCTTCCCCGTGGTATAGTGAAAACTACCATTGCCATTATTCTCAATTATTAATTTTCTCAAGTTTTGAAAGATGAAAGCAATTCTCTTTCCGTCTCACTTATTCCAGTTCCCTGACTTCACTTAATACCTTTCAGGTTGGAAAGTGTGTAGAAATTGGCATTCCCATGCTTATCCTTTTCGTAGCTTTCTCTCAGGTATTACTAATGTTCCTTATGTAATAACATATGATATGCTCTGTTTAGTGCTTACGGAGAAAGGAAAGGGCAGATGTTAGGAAAGTAGCTTTGTATAAAACCATTATAGTGTACTTGTTGAAATTCATACAATCTTCTTAATTGTGCCGTGTTTGTCCTGTTGGTGTAAACAGTACCTAAAGAACTTCCATGCAAGACAGCTACCAGTTTTAGAACGATTTGCTCTTCTTATATCAATCACAGTGATATGGGCATATGCACACCTCTTGACCGCCAGTGGTGCATACAAACACCGCCCAGACATAACCCAAGTCAATTGCCGAACTGACAGGGCCAACCTCATTTCTTCTGCTCCATGGTTGGTACCAAAACTAGCTTTTAATTGGTTGCACAGTCTGCATTAACTTGCAAAAGAAATGGTTAAGATATATTCACCCCACCCAAATGTTTCTGTAAAGTGCACTTGAAAGTACTCAAAATCACGGTACCAGAGTAGCTTAACATTTAAAAGCGTCTTTGTTTCACCTTTATTGTTCAATTTGTTGTGCGTGGAAATGTGATACTGTCATTAGGGCACATTCAATTTGTGAATGTTTACAATTTTACCTCCTAAACAGGATAAAAGTACCTTATCCTCTTCAATGGGGTGCCCCAACCTTCGATGCTGGTCATGCTTTTGGAATGATGGCAGCTGTTCTTGTTTCATTGATCGAGGTATAACCCAGACAGAATTGGATGCCACTCAAGAATAGATGATATAAGTCAACGTAAACTAATGCTTACTTTTACAGTCAACTGGAGCATACAAGGCTGCATCGCGTCTAGCAAGTGCCACAATACCTCCAGCTCATGTTCTTAGCCGTGGAATTGGCTGGCAGGGGATAGGAATCCTACTTAATGGACTTTTTGGAACGTTGACTGGCTCAACAGTCTCTATGTAAGTAGTGACGCTTCTTGCTCTCGGATATCCACTTGATGGAACTGAACTAATTTTTTTCGGAAACATTACAGAGAAAATGTGGGGCTTCTTGGGAGCACTCGTGTTGGAAGCCGTAGGGTCATTCAAGTCTCAGCGGGTTTTATGATATTCTTCTCCATGTTAGGTTAGTCCTGGACAAACATATGATTTTTTGTTGCCCCTAGTATCACAGTTCCAATCCGTCTTCCAGTTTTTAACTCAAATCATTGCTCTTGCAGGTAAATTTGGAGCTCTGTTTGCATCAATACCCTTCACCATATTTGCTGCTGCATATTGTGTATTGTTTGGTCTTGTCGGTAAGGATCCAATTTTACTTTCACATTTATTTTTAGATTTTATTGAGCAATTTATCTCAATCGTTTATCTGCATCTAATTGCCAATCAATTATGTGCTCTCAGCTTCGGTGGGGTTATCCTTTTTGCAATTCACAAACATGAACTCGATGAGGAACCTCTTTATTGTTGGTGTAGCGTTATTCTTGGGTTTATCTGTTCCTGAGTACTTCAGAGGTTACACTTTGAAGGCTTTTCACGGTCCTGCTCATACCAATGCAGGATGGGTGAGTTACCCTTCTTTAAACCTCAGAGTCTTTTTCTTATACAACGAAAAATAGGTAAACTTAAGTTATACCTATTTAAGGGGATCATCATTGTCACTGACTTTCTGTTTCTTTGATGTGCAGTTCAACGATTTTCTGAATACCATCTTCTCCTCATCTCCGACTGTGGCCTTGTTTGTTGCTGTTTTCCTGGATAACACACTTGAGTACAAGGACAGTGCAAGAGACAGAGGAATGCCATGGTGGGTCAAATTTCGGCAATTCAAAGGGGACAGCCGCAACGAGGAGTTTTACACTCTCCCTTTCAACCTCAACCGATTCTTCCCTCCATCTTGAAGTGGCACCGTTAGTAGTCCATTACCCGAAAAGATGGTTAGAGGAAAAACATCTTTTCCCATAGGGATTAGATCAGTTAGGAGCACAGTGGAAGCAAAGCCAGACAATGCTCATACATGTTCTCTGAAATGCAGGGAAATGACAACAGTGCTTCTGCTGCCCTATAATTTTAATATTTATATTTTGACTCGGATTATTCGGGTTTAATCCAATATGTATAATTAGTTCAGTTTTGTTCATCCTTTATTGGTGTAATTTTTTGAAAGTCATTATTTATATCTGGTTAATGTTTGCAAAATACGTCTGGTATCATTCTATGCATATAAATCGGAAAAAGAGAAACTTTACAACTAATCCAGCGCTGCGACCACACTTTCATCAGCCAGATAAAAGGTGAAAGTTCCGCTCCGGTGGGAGGTGAGTTTCCTTGGCAACCAAGTTAGGGTTGAGGCTGGTGAAGGAATTTATCCACCTCCTCAACTTTCTCGAAGTTCTTGACTCTACTTTCCTCCATTGGCCTTCAAAAACTTAATCTTGATTTTATTGAGTGTGGCTACAGCATCTGGCATACTAACTCTCTCCTCCGGAAATTCGGCAGAACAACCTAGAGCTAATCTCAGAATGGATGATAAACAATCCCTCTTGCTCGAAAAATCACGATCTTCCTCCGTTTGAAGTAAGCTGGCATCCACAACTTCAAAAATTACATCTTGAAATAATGAATTTGAAATCCATTGCTTTAAATTCATTTCCCCAGCAAACATCTCATCTGTTGGCTTCCTTTTTGTGAACGTTTCCATAAGTACAATACCAAAACTGTACACATCCCCTTTTGTGGAAACAATTCCATCCATGCCATACTCTGCATGTAACACGTAAACTTAATCATATATGAAGAAAAGAAATCTACAAGTTAACCTTCTTAAAAATATAGACTGAAAAATAAACTAATAATCACCTGGAGCCATATACCCAATCGTCGCTAGGGTCATGGTTTGTGTGAAAGAATCTCCTTCACCCAAGAGTTTCGCAATGCCAAAATCAGCAACATGTGCTACCATATCTTCATCTAGCAGTATATTGCTTGGCTTCATGTCGCAATGCACAACAGGTGTCGAATAACCATGGTGAAGGTATTCCAAAGCCAATGCGACATCTATCATTATGTTCAACCTTTGAAGGATATTCAAAGGAGAGTTTTGAGAATACAACCACTTCTCAAGGCTCCCATTAGGCATGTACTGGAGTACCAGGGCTTTGAAATCAATTTGACTGCAACTACTGATGATTTTGATAAGATTCCGGTGACGAATATTGCTTATCACTTCACATTCACTATCAAAACTCTTGAAAGCCCCTTCTATCTGTAAATTGAAAACCTTTACCGCAACATCTATCCCATCCGAAAGTGTTCCTTTATATACGGAGCCAAAACCCCCGTTGCCAAGTAAGTTGTTTTCGTTAAATCCATTTGTCGCCCTTACAAGTTGCAGGTGTGAAACTCTTCTCCATTGAAATTGAGGCGACAAGACCGTCTCCCTTGCAACTTCCACATTCCTTTTCCTGCGTAATATCAACATCGAAACAGCGGCCACGATGAGCAGTGCTGATAATACCCCTGGAATAATATATTTCAGGATGGGTGCTCCAGCTTTCCTTGAATGCGGTTGTTCTGTATCTTTTTTGCATGGTGGAACTTTCAGTCGGGGTACACCACAAAGTAAACCATTCGAAGCAAATGATTGAGCTGAGAAGTTTCGGAAAGGCCCGCCCATTGGAATTTCTCCTTGGAGTTTATTGGAAGACAAATTTAGATACTTGAGGTGTACAAGTGCTTGCAATGACTTTGGAATCATTTCAGACAGATTGTTGTTTGATAAATCTAAAAGTTCTAGGCTAAGCAAGTTGCCACATGAACTAGGAATAGGGCCTTCAAAATTATTGTTTTGCAAGGAGAGATTAACTAAATTTGTAAGACCCCCAATGCTGCTTGGTAGACTACCTGAGAAATGGTTGTTTGATAAATCCATCTCAATGACAACTCTCAGTTTTCCAACGTCCTCTGAGAGTGATCCAATTAGAGAGTTGAATGACAAGTTCAGGTACAATATATCAGCAAGTCCCCACAAGGTAGATGGTATTGTGGAAGTTAACAAATTCGACCCCAACGATAGACTTCTTAGAGCGACGGCCAGAGTACCCAAGCAGGAAGGTATAGGACCAGAGAGTTGATTACCGTCCAATACTGCATAAGCTAGGTTCTCTAGTTGACAAAGTTCAGATGGGATGAATCCTTGCAACCTGTTATTGTTCAAATATAAAACTTGGAGATTCCGTAGCCTTTCTAATGAAGTTGGAATTGTTCCACTCAATTGATTCTTATCCAAGGCTAATGCTATCAAGCTGCTCAAGTTTCCAATATCCATGTGAATGCTTCCCCTTAAGTTGCAACTGCTTAGGTCAAGGTACTGAAGGGATGGAGAGAAATATTTCCCAAGAGACACCGGAAGCGTGTCATTTAATGGATTATTACCCAAGTATAATGTTGTCAAATTTCTTAGGCTAGCCAAACAAGAGAGAATGCTTGCTTCTGGAGTAGAAGTATCAATCGTCAAATTATTATGGTTTAAGCTAAGCCGCTGAAGGTTTCTTAAGGGACAAAGTGTGCTCGGAATAAACCCCGTTAGTGAGTTTCTTTTCATGTCTAACTGGATGAGCTTAGAAGCATTGGAGAAGTTGGGGATACCTCCGCTGAAGTTGTTTGATGCTGCATGAAGGAATTTTAGGTTTGGAACCCCAAGGCCTATGTTAGCTGGGAGGCTACCTGAGAGCTGACCAAAAGAAAGCCCTATTTCTCTTATCATGGATATGTTGAAGATTGTGGATGGGACGAGGCCATTGAGATTATTAACCCCAAGTGTCAAAGTCTCTAAATTTTGAAGATTGCCAATCTCATTTGGTATTGTACCTGCCGAATTGAGAAGACTTATGTTTGAAAGAAAATTGATGTATAAATGCATGTCTTTATGTATATGTATATGGTTTTCAGTAATTGTAGTGGAGATGAAGATATATGCATTAGTGGTTCTTTTTATGAGCAGTAAAGAGAGTTCGATCTTGGAATCTCTTTCGACATTGAAAAGAGAAGTATCACTAGTATGAAGTATGCTAAACTAAAAATTTCCGGTTAGAAATGATGAATTATTAAATAATGATAAATCATTGTGGGACAACAAATATAAAATGTGACAAAAAAAAATTTACCTGTCAAATTGTTGAAGCCAAGATATAACGCTGTCAGCTGGGTCAAGTTGCCAATATTTTTGGGAATGGTTCCAGTGAAATTGTTCTCCCCCATTAACAATATACGAAGCCCCTTGCATTGCCCTAATTTGGAAGGAAGTGGCCCAGAAAACTGGTTGCTACCCAAATGCAACACCTGAATATTTGGAAGGTGCTGACATACATTGTCTGGAATACTTCCAATCAAGCTGTTTTGGTATACAGTTAGAGTAGTCAGAGTAGATATGTTGAAGACAGCCATAGGAAGAGGCCCCTTCAGGGCATTGAACTGCACATACAAGTCCTCCAACTGATCTAAAAATCCCATCTCCCTTGGAATTTCTAAAATTCAACACATACATATTAAATTCATGAGTCGAGATTCCTAAATTTATTTAAACCACTATTTCTTTTTGCGCACATGTTAAACTGTGATTTACGTAAGTGTAAAATTTCTAATTTCAAGAAAGGAGCCAAGCAATGTCTTTTACAACAACAAAGTGGAGTCATATACCTGTGAATTTGTTGTTGTCAAGGGATATTGCCTTGAGCATTGTTAAGTTTCCAATTTCTCTCGGTATGCTACCTATTAAATATGCACATGGCATAATAAATAAGACAAATAAAGAAAAGGTTTTTTTTAGCCGTAATGATTTCTGAGATTAACTCTTCATTTTAGTCTCTAATGATGAAAATTCATGCTAGCGGTTCCTAAATTAATCTACCGTAAATTATTTTGGTCATTCTGTGAAAAATATGTTAATATCCTCATTAAATTGAGGGGTTGATTTAACCAAAATATCGTTGAAAAGATGACCATGTGGCCATTTATGCGACAATTGAACTAGAATATCGACAGAATTTTCACGGAATGACCAAAATGATTTGTAGTGGACAAACTCAAGGAACACTTCTATCGATTCTCATTGTGAGAGACCAAAATGAGAAATATATGACAATCATGGGAGCATTTTGGGGAAAAAAAAAAAAAAACATAAAGAAAACATATCCCATAAAATAAATCTTATGTTTCTCATAGTTATAGATTCAAAAACATGTTTAAACCTAATGCTCGGTCAACAAAATATTCCTAAATATATAGCGTATAGATGCATAGGTACATATATATATATATATGTATGTATATATATACCTGATAATCGGTTATTGCTAAGATCAATTCCTTGAAGTGCAGATAAGTTGAAGATAGCAGTGGGTATCGAACCAGAAAACTGATTACCATTCAATCTCATCCTTTGAAGTTTAGATAAGGATCCGAGCCATGATGGGATGGTCCCCACAAAGATATTGTTCGCGAAGCTAACTCTTGTCAATCGGCGCAAGCGAGACAATTCCTGGGGCAAAGTACCATGGAAACTGTTGTTTCCGAATTCCAGTCGAACAAGAAATGAGAGGTTGCCTAAGTGGGGAGGGATAGTGCCTGTGAGATTCATGTAAGAGAGATTCAAGGCTGTGACTCTGAGGTGACGTAGACCGCAAGTAACGCCAATCCAGCTGCAAATATTGGAATTGGAGGTAGACCAGTTGGTCGTCAAGATGTTTTGAGGGTCACTAGTGACATGGGCTTTCAGAGCACTAAGAGCAGACTCATCTGTGCTGATGTTGGATTTTGTTGCTACTGCGCCTATTGTGAAGTTAGGCATATAAATACAGCAGTTCTGGACCAGCAGCAAAGTAATGGACAAGAGAAAACAAGTTGTCGCCATTTTGTGCAGGCCGCCGGCGATGTGAAAAATGTGAAATTGTATTCTGTAGCAAACAATTTCTGAAAATCAAGAAAACACAAGTGACGAAAGTTCACAGATATTTATTTTTCTTCAGTTAAAACTATTTATTGACTTGTGAATCAATGTAGGAAGACTTCTGACTCACGTCTGTTTCCACACATCTTCAGAGGTCAACACACACCATTCAACCATGTTCCATATCTATCGACAAAGTCATTGTTGTTTTGAAGCATATAAAGTCATTATTGTATGGTAAGAATGCAGGATGTGAGAGTATTATGGGTAAGTATGTGAGGTGTGTTAAGATAAATTTTAAGGTAAATATTTGTTTACTGCCCTTAAGTTCATGATTTTCAACATTTGGTACATGAAGTTTTTTTCGTCCTAGAGTTATACCTAAAGTGTTAATTTTGGGACAGTCTCATACATCCGTTAGTCAGGTTGTTAAGTCTTCCGTTAACTGATGACGTGGCACCTATGTGGACAATGACTGGACGCCACGTGTCATTAAGGAGTCCATGTAGAAATTAAAAATTAAAATAAAATAAAATAAAAACCGTTTTGATATTCGTCTTCCTCCCAGAGGAAGTTTGATCCGCCCATTGTCCCCAATCCCCTCCTCTCTTCTCTCCTCCGCGTCCCACCCAACCTTCCTCTCCTACCTCACCCTCTGGGCACCTCTTCTGAGATGGCAACTGCAAAATAACAACAAAAAAAAGTTTGGGGTTGCATTTGATTTTACGAAATAAAATTGATTTCATGCATTTTGATTTTGCTGCGGACAAAGATTATAAGAGTTGGGTTTTGGGTTTTGGTTTCTTTTTGCCTTTTTCTCCCCAAAAAAAAAATTTTGGTTCGTTCTTTGCAATGGGTATGATTTGCTTCAAACTAAAAAAATTCAAACAAAGTTCAATTACCCAACAACTTCTACAAATCATAAACTCAAAATTGGGCATGTGGGAGGACAGAACTCGTGAGCTTGTTCACTTTGTGAACCTTCTTATTGCAAGCCCAGCACACGGTGGGAGGACAAAAATCATAACTCAAAACTAGACTCTCGCAGCGATTTGATGAGGGGGAAGGCTAATTGGATGCTCACGGTGGTGATTTGATGAGGTGGGTCGGGCTAATTTGGAAGATGAGGTGGCCAGAGGGTGAGGTAGGAGAGGAAGGTTGGGTGGGACGCGGAGGAGAAAAGGGAGGAAGGGACAGATGGGCGGATCGAACTTCCTCTGGGAGGAAGACGAGTAACAAAAGGGTTTTTAATTTTTATTTTTTTGATAAAAATGTTTTTTTATATTTTTTTTAATTTTTAATTTTTACTGTGGACCCCTTAATGACACGTGGCGTCTGATCATTGTCCATATGGACGCCATGTCATCAGTTAACGGAAGACTTAACAGCCTGACTAACGGGTTACATATGTATGAGACTGTCCTAAAATTAACACTTTAGGTATGACTCTGGGACGAAAAAAACTTCATGTACCAAATGTTGAAAACTACGAAACTTGAGAGCAGTAAACTGATATTTACCCTAAATTTTAATTAAAAAAAGAAAATGTGGGATGGAGTATATTCAACAATATGTGGATTTTAATATAACAAACCATTAAAACTAGGCTAAAAGCGAATACAAAAATTTATAGTGGTTTACCTATAAACGAGACTATATCCACTCCAGTCTGTCTATATATTTGCTGAGATTATATACGCATGCTAATTCAATAGGTTCGAGACCATCATAAAAGGGGATCAAGAAAATAAAACAAGAAGCATCCCAGGCGACTGACAAGTGAAGAATACCCGTTTGGCACCCCCTCAAACCCCACCCCCCCCCCCCCCACAAAAAAAAAAAAAAAAAAAAAAAACCTGCCTTCTTTCCCTCTTAGACATGCAGAGCCGGTTTTTGGTGGGTGTGACTAATTCTATTGCGGAGGGTCTTAAAAATAGTTTTTTTTTATTGAATATAATAATATATAAAAATACTAATCAAATAAAATATATATATATATATATATATAAATTTGATGGGCCCAAAAGCCATAACACTACTTGCCTAAAATATCTAAGGAATTATGTAAAATTATAAAAATTAATAAAGCTGTTGTCAAAGCTAATCAATTAAAAGGAAAGAACCTACTGAGGCAAACAATTCAATGTCAAAGACACAAAGTCCACTTTTCTTCTCTCACGCCAAAGTTCCATCGTTGATTCCCAATTTTCTTCTTTCACACTAGAGTTCCAGACATCGTCGCCAGTGTTTCAGTCTACTTTACTTCTCTCTTCAATAAAAAAAACCCGGGGTCTGCCTTCTTTCCCTCTTAGACATGGCAGAGCCGGCTTTTGGTGGGTGTGACTGATTCTATTTCGGAGGGCCTTAAAAATAGTTGTTTTATTGAATATAATAATATATAAAAATACAAATCAAATAAAAAAACAATATATATATATATTTGATGGGCCCAAAAGCCATAACACTACTTGCCTAAAATCTCTAAGGAATTATATAAAATTATAAAAATTAATAAAGCTGTTGTCAAAGCTAATCAATTAAAAGGAGAGAACCCATCGAGGCAAACAATTCAATGTCAAAGACACAAAGTCCACTTTTCTTCTCTCACGCTAAAGTTCCATCGTTGATTCCCAATTTTCTTCTTTCACACTAGAGTCTCAGACATCGTTGTCAGTGTCCCAATCTACTTTACTTCTCTCTTCATCCTGTTGTTTTTTTTCCTACAAATTATTAAACCCTGATTTATAAGTTTACGAAATTGAAGAGAAACTTCCGAATCATGAAGACATTTCAACCGATCAGAATGATGTAGACTTCGATTAAAGTAAGATATTTACTAAATTAAGTTTATTGACTTGGAATTTGAAGATTTGGATATTTCTCATTTATAATAAAAAAAAAATAAAAATCTTTTGAACTTATGGTTAGTTACTAGTACTATAGTTACTTTGTAGTTTTCTTTACATTCAATAATATTTAGAAATAGATGGTTAGTGAGTTTTAAAGTTTAGAGTTAAATCTCATACTACTTTGAAGTTTTGTGGTTTTCAACATTTTGTACAATAATTTTTTTCATCCCAGAGTCATTTCTCAAGTCTTAATTTTGGGATAGTTTTATACATCCGTTAAGTTTTCTGTTAGAACTTATGTTAACGAATGACATGACGCCCACATGGACAATAACTGAACATCACATATCAATATGGCACCACTTCAATATTAAAAAATACAAAAAATACAAAAAAAAAAAAAAAACCCACCCGTCTACCTTCCCCCCCTCCTTCCTTCTTCCCTCTGCAACCCGCTCCCTCAAAACCATTCTCTCCCAAGCTCACTCCAACCACCAAAACCAGTCTCCCCTTCCTCCTCCAACCTGCAACCCGCACCTTCCTTTCCTTCTTCCCTCAGACGGTCAGACCCAAGCTCATTCCCGTGCTTCTTCTTCCCTCAAATCAAAACCAGAGTTTCATAGAAATTAATACCCAAAAAAATTAAAATTCTTGTTTTTCAAAAAAGAAAATTGGGTCGATGTTGGAAAATTAAAATCTATAAACCCTGCGAATCAAATGAGCGAAAAAATCGTAACCAGAGCTTAATTTATAAGTTCTAACTAACCCCCAAAACAAGAACACGCGGTTAAATTAGATCTGTTTACAATTGGCTATTCACAAATAAACCTTTTTAATCCAGCAATTTCCTCACATAAAAGAGCAAATTAAATTGAACAAAACGGAGAGATTAAAGATATGCAAGGCACTTACGGAATGGATAAGAAGAAAAAGGACCTGGTTGGAATTTTCAGAGGAGATGGCAGATTGCAGGTTACAGAGGGAAGAAGAAACGCGGGAGTGAGCTTGGATCTTAAGGAAGAAGGAAGGGAGGGTGCAGGTTGGGGGAGATTGGTTTTGGTGGTGAAGGAAAGTTGGGGGAGAGGGTGCGGGTTGCAGGTTGGAAGAGGAAGGTTGGGGGAGACTAGTTTTGGTGGTTGGAGTAAGCTTGGGGGAGACTGGTTTTAGGGGAGAGGGTGCAGGTTGCAAAGGGAAGAAGGAAGGGAGATGGTTGGGGGTTGTAGGAGGCGGGTGGGTTTTTTATTTTTTATTTATTTTTTTATATATTTATTTTTTTTAATATTGAAATGGGGTCATATTGACACGTAACGTTCAGTTATTGTTCACATAGACGCCACGTCATCAGTTAACAGAGTATCTAACGGAAAACTTAACGAATGTATGAAACTGTTATAAAATTAAAACTTGAGGTATGAGTCTGGGACGAAAAAAAAACTTCATGTACCAAATGTTGAAAGTCACTAAACTTCAGGGTAGTAAACTGAGATTAACCCTAAAGTTTATTTCGATATTGCTTTTTAGCATCAATACATTGTTCAATTTTTTATTAAGATGTCCTATATGAAGGGCCCTTTTGTGAATTTTGCACAGGGCCTTAGAAATCTCAGAGACGGCCCTGCGACATGGCATGTCACGCCCCGATCCCGATATACATCCAGGATCGACACGTAACGTCATCCAAATACTCATATATCTCACATACCCCGTCTCAGGAATATGGCAATCACTATTCGAGAATCAAATTGCAAAGAAATTTTTCGTTTACCTTATGGCTGCATCTAACCTCCTCGTTAGACTGCCTACGTACCCTCAATAGGGATCAAGCCATTCGTAATTCACTATCACAAAATCAGACATTTAATCCACTAAGTTCAAGCAGAAAAGCATAATATTGCTCAATCATTTAATCATTCAATATAACCTGACAACATGTAATTCCTGGACTCAGGCTACATAACCAATCCCCATGAAAACATGATTCCTCTCTCATCCAACATATAAATCATTATGTCTCATCATGATATCGCAATTCACAACACACATCATATTTAAGAGCCGACGAAACACAAAACCATTCTCTAGCCGCATTAAGTAATTAATTTGATTAAAGTAATAACAATCATTCCCATATCTTCTAAATTCATACCTTATGAAATCATAATCGAATCATAGAAAATCCCGAAAGAGTCACTTAGGCATCCAACATCTTTTCTAACTTAATTCACAAGACTCTCGAAACCATTGACACAAATATATATATATATATATATATATATATATATATATATAAACTAAGGCTAGAGTGACACAGTTAGGCCAAGCCTAATTCTCCAATAATGGGATTTTAGGCCATCCACAGAATTCAACAACCTCGGGTTCCGGACTGCTCAACGGAACCAAACCAAATATGATCGCCTATAAAATGTACCATGTAAAACCAATCTCACTCCCACTCAATGCCACAATCTTTCGGTTAGAAGTCGAACTTAGGCGCAATCTCAATCATTCAAATCCCGTCTACTAGCGACATCTAGTAGTGGCAAGCTCGCACCCGCCAGTTTCTCGTTCGAGCAAATTCCAAGAAGCCTGCAAGGCCCATAGCAAATTTAGGGGGCAAACACAATGATGAAGTTGATAACTTTGCCAAATGGGATTCCGCCCCAATCTTTGGTTCTTACGAAAGTGACGAGGATATAGTTGCAATGGTTGAAGGTCTTTATGTACAACTTCATATAGAGGTAAAAGATTTGTACTTGTATGAAAACGTTATTCTTGTCATCTCTTTGTACCATTATTTTTGCCAGATTTATATAGAGATAAGAGCCACATGAGTTGGTGAGCCCTATCTCTATTAGAGAGATAGTACAAATAGATGGTAAGAATAGCACTACCCTTTAGAGAATATAGTTGCTGCTTTTAATTGTGAGTTTGTATTATCCTTCCAAGACTACTCATCTTAGAAAACAATTGGAAATCATAAGTGCATGATTTAAAGTTGATTTCTAATAACAAGGTTCGACTATGGTGTACTTGCTTAGGAATAACGTGGAAGTGGAGTTTACTTGAATGTTTTTTGGGATTGAAAACTTTAACAACTCAGAATTTTCTTTGATGTGGCTGCTGTGGAAATGTTTGAAAGGTCATCTAAATGATCGAGGAAAAAAAAAAATCAAAGGAAACTCGATGACGAGTTTTTTTCAAGAAGAGGGGTTATATATGATCTAGTGCACGACAATAAATATAGTTCCTATATTAAATTTGATCATTTGTGGCTTCTCATCTTTCAAAGCTATGTTTTATTAGTTGCCTAGTAACTATAGTCTTAGTATTAAATATCTACTCTATCAATGTATTGTAATCTCTCTATTTAAAGGACTTCATATGTATGTTTAAGGAGGCTTGAATGAATAAAATATATATTTGCTTTGTGCAATGTGTTTTCTCCTTCTCAAATCAAGCGTTTGGCTTGGTCGTGTCAAGCTTCTCCATGATTAACAATGTCGAGCAAGCTTCATTGCCCGTGATTGAGTTATTTCAATGAAAATATATGGTTAATGTTTCCAGAAGCGTGTTATTTGAAAGAGAACCTTTAGAACTAATGCATGCAGCTGCCATACTTTATATACGACCGCCCGGAAGAACATAAAAAAATAAAGTGTTATATGACACCAAAAAATAGAGGTATAACTAAAGAGTATCGGAAGGGGTTGTCTGATCGAGCGAAGTTAGCGAGATTTGCACATGCACTGCGGGCATCTTGGCTGCCGATAAATGCTTCGACCGAACCTCCTCACATGCACCCTTTGGCCTTCGTCAATCATCTTTTTTACTCTGTCTTCAAAGTTGTTCCACCCTATAGTACTATTCTCAGACAAAATTGCTGCTAGCCTCTTCTTGTTTGGCCGCAAAGTAGGAGCACCGCCGTCACCATAGTAGGTTCGAAATCCAGACACTAGGGAAGATAGTTGGCTCCCAGAGTCAGTCATAGCAAACACATCGGCTGTTGAACAGGCAATGAAGTCTAATGCTGCTAACTGTACCAGAAATCACATTGTTATAATATGAAGGTTATATTACAATTTACTGGTGAAAGAAGTAGACAGTGCTCATTTACCTTAGAAGAGAAATTTTGAAAGGGTGCAAGTTCGCTCGGTGTGAGGAGAGTTTCCTTGGTGACCAAGTTAGGGTAGAGGCTAGTGAAGGATTTCATCCGAGAGCTTCCACCGTATATTTGAGAACCAGCTAGATAAATGTAAGTTACATGCTTTAAACCTAAACCAGCAAGAACTAGTCCGGCTTCTTCTGGTGCCAATGGACACCTCCCCAACATTCTCAACTGTCTTGGAGAAACTGCCCTGCAAGTTTTGGTAGCACAGAGAAAAAGCATCGGTTAGAAAAAAAAAAAATTGTCTTCACACGAAATTAGAGAAAATAACAACTAAAAAGGCAATAGAAGATAAATACTTTGAGTTCTTCAAGCGCTTAATGAGCAGTGGAAAATGGATTTCCCTGTAGGCTTGGAGTTCCTTTTTCTCACTTTCTCCACCTCCGAATTCACACAGGGAGTAGGCCACCATGTCAATCTCAAATCTCAAGTGTAGAGCGAGATATTTCGTTGGGCCTCTTGCAGCAACATGTACCTTTGAGGGAGTTTTTTGCATGAAATTTCCAAGCAATTGTTTGTCCAACATACTCAAGGCAGCATCATAATTCCTTATCCTTCTAACCAACAGAGAACCGACTTGTTGGATTCTGGGCACAAACTTCAAAGCATGAAAGTTACATTTGCATCTTAATCTCTGCAACAGAGATTGGAAAATATGTTACACTGCCATTTCATCTAGCCAACAATCTCCTCTTATTAAATGTCTATTTACATGTGGTGAAGTTATAACCTGAAGCTCAGGAGGCAACAGATCAAAGCCTAGTCGATTTCCATATCCGAGGAAGTGAACAACTTGATTTTGCAAGAGAAGAGGAAGTACAATTCTGATATAATCAATTGGTTTTGCCTCCTTCACAAGATCTGCATCAGTAATCTGCAAAGAGGAAAAGGTAATCAGTTTACAAATTTGCTGCGGAAATGAATGTAACAGAATAGGCGGATGACGTACAAGGCTACCAATTGCTTCAATGTCTAGTGTTTTCAAATGAGAAGGAAGTTCTTTGACTATGTTTAATTCATCCTTCAGTACATCTATAAAATACTGTTCTTGGTAAATATCTTCAAATTGGCTGCAATAACATGAACAAACTGAGCCTATCAGTACACCCAATACATCAGTGAACTTATGCATCAATAATTTTTGCAAAACTGCAACATCAAGTTGAAGCTGTTAATGATATGAAGATGATCAGATAATTATCTCAAACCTTGGATCGTTCCATACATTGCTGTAAAGAAACCTTGGAAGAACAAGAGTAGCATTAAGAAGTGATGCCACAGCAACAGCATTGCAAATCTGTAATCATCATAAGAAGATTATGTACGTAAGTTCAATTGAAACAGTCATCTAATGAATGAACAACCACCTTATTAATTTTACACACGCATTTAGATAAGGATTAAAACTTCATCACAAGAAGACTTACAGCAACTCGTTGTTGATTGAGACCGCCATTTGCACTGACTATTATGTATCCATTACTTTTCTTGTATCTCCCTGAGAGGGAAAATCAAAAACTAAATAACTAAGTAACAGGGAAAGGGTTTTAATTTTAGAAAACAAAATTGCGAAAAAAATTAACATATACCTAGGCTTGCCGAAACTTTTCTGTCTGCACAAGGTTTCCATGCAGCAACCTGCTTATATGGTTCCTCCCATAAAGTCGACGACTCTGGCTTAAACTCTTTCTAAAGCAAAAGATTTACGTGAGTAAAAAGAAAGATCCAGTGAACAAACTTAACAAGCTTATCTGAGTCAAAAGATCATAAGTTAAGAAGAAAACCTCTGCAATGGCATCTTTCGCTACCTTTAGAAGCTGGTCATACATATGTACTGGTGATTTTTCTTTCATAATGTAGGCATCCCTGTCCTCCTTCGGAAAATAATTGAAGTACATATTACAGACGTTATGAACATATAATATAGGATGACTTGAAAATTTTATGGCAAGAATTGTGTAAGGTCTTTACCTTAAATCCCTGTGGATTTCTTACATAATAAGTTGAATTCTGAAGAACCATCGAATAAAAAATAGATACTAGAAAAGAATCAAGTAGGAGAAGGAAACCCATCAACGCAAACACAATGACGATTGATCGCACATCTTTTCGAAGCCACAAATGCTTTTTCCCCACGAAGCTCCCTTTACAGGTACCATATTTTACAGAATCACTTCTCACAATATGAAAATGGTCATTTTTCAGACCATGAAGGAACAATATTTTGGAATTCAAATGGTTATCACCTCCTGACATTCTCCTCCCAACATTAGAAGGATCATAGTCTTTAGTCCCTGACAATAAGTTATCGTCAATCTGTGGCTCGGGATGTGGGCTTCTCGGAGACCCTTGTTTCCCCATTAGACCGTATGATCTTTCAGTAATACCTTCAATATAAGCAGCACACAATTTTCTTCACCATCTCTAGTTTCGGAAGGTCAAGAAATTTCTGCCAATAAAGTAACTGAGAGCAAAAAAATACTTCAGGAAAAAACGCTGGAAACAACTCTAGAAGCTTGAAGCTGCACCACCACCCTCTAAATCTAATAATCTATGATATTTTTGTTTTCCAAAATCGACCCACCAACCATTAGACCATGTAACGAAAATTCAGGTTTAGTGTTACACATTGACATGATGACAACAAGGATGAGAAAGGTATAAGGTCGGACCAGGACATTGAAGGTATGAATTCAAAGTGAAGCTAAGAAGTAGTTGAAAGTGGCAACATAAGCAGATGAGTGAAATGCAAGCGAAAAGTGAAAACTCAGCAACACCATTTTTTTTTTTTTTTTGATAAACAGCAACCATATTTAACAAACTAAACTTGTAGACAAAGAATTTTTATAAGATATATATATATATATATATATATATATATATATATATATATATATTGGCGGGGTCCTTTCAACCAACAAAGGCTCAAAAAACAGTTAGGACTATAACCCTCTACTAGGAGAGGTTTTTTAGTATGTCAGAAATACGGGATGTAACACCACACGTCATAAAATAATTAGATGGACATGAAAATAAAAACTTTCCATCAATTATATAATAACATGTAATGTTTTGCACCATGTTTCAAGCACACAGAAAAATCTCTCACTTGTTAGAATGTAATTTTCTAATTTGGGCTTATTTATGATTAGCTGAGTACCACGTACAGCAAGAGGATTCAGATACATCATTAAATCATATATTCAGATGTTAAATGTAAAACATTAAAATGATATTTGATGAATTATGTGACGATTTGATATTGTGTATCATTTTTCGCTCCATAAGAATACCATTTTATAATTTTTTTCATCTATTTATGGAGTTCAGTTATTAAGACAATTAATCAAATAATTGGAACACACAACATTTATTATGAATTGCATGACATCTATTAAAAAATCATTAAATGACTTTATCTTCAATTGACTCAACTCCATGTAAGAAACTGAAGGTTCAGTTGAAAAGAATTTTGTTGCTATTTTTTATTATTATTTGTCTATGTATCAGTTTTGACATCTCCTTTAACAATTCTAGAGCCCAATCACCTATTTTGATTGTTTGTTTTCATTTGTAGGAGCCCAAGTAGTAAGTTAATTAGAAAAAGAGCCTTTATTGAGGAAAAATTTTATGCACTCTTTCTCTTTTTGCATACTTTTATTTATTTATGTTTTTGATTCACGTTTGATTTATTTAATCTAATGACCACAAGAAAAATCGAGGGTATACTGATGATAAAATGATTACAACCAAAACAAAAAAACTTGATCCGAAACATACGAAGAATTAGACAAGTCAAACAATTGATAAAAGTAATAACTAATTGTTGCTTCTCGTTCTTATAGTGTGACGTACTAAAGCATGGTACGAAGAAATTAGAAGAAATCTGTAAGGAAAAGTAAACAACGATGACTTGAGGAATGTTGATTAATTAAGTAGACTTTCACAATATTTGGGAGAAACAAAGATGCTATCCTGCAGTATCCTTCAAAAGCTTGGTCTTCATTTTACTGAGGATGGCTGCAGCATCACGCATAGTTATCCTCTCGTGAGGTGATTCACTACAACAAGCTAGAGCTAATCCCATAACGGACGATAAAAAATCCCCCTTCCGCACAAAATCTTGATCTGCCTCTTTCTCGAGTAAATTGGCATCACAATGTCAACTATTGCATCTTGGATTAACAAATTTGCAATCCATTGCTTCATACTCATTTCCTCATCAAACATCTCATCTGTTGGCTTTCTTTTTGTGAATATTTCCATGAGTACAATACCGAAACTGTACACATCCCCTCTCGTTGAAACAATTCCTTCTCTCCCATACTCTACATGCAATATGTATATAGTTAGTAAAATATAAAATGGGTATAGTACATGAAAAATAGGTATGTGTATTATTCTACAACTTCGTGAAAAAGATAACTTTTTAAAATTCGGGCTTTTTTTTAATTTTAGCATTAAGAAGTATACGGAAAATGAAAGTATTTTTGAAAAAATACATATATACGTGTATGATGATACGCCAACTTTATATGCAAGTACCTTTATACATGTGATACACTAGGATTATAAATTAAAGACAAGTGCATCTATAAAACTTAAAGATAAACTATGGTTAGCAACATCACCTGGAGCCATATACCCAATTGTGGCTAGGGTCAATGTCTGGGTCATAGAATCTCCTCCTCCCAAAAGTTTTGCGATTCCAAAATCAGCGACATGTGCAACCATATTCTCATCTAGGAGTATGTTACCCGGCTTCAAATCACAATGGACAATAGGTATTGGATATCCATGGTGAAGGTATTCCAGTGCCGATGCAACATCTATCATTATATTCAACCTTTCTATGATACTCAATGAACAAAACTTTTCCGAATACAGCCACCTCTCAAGGCTCCCATTAGGCATGTAGTTCAGTACCAAGGCTTTGCAATCAACTTCGTTACAACTATTGATGATTTTGATGAGATTCCGATGACGAATATTGCTCAGCATTTCACATTCACTATCAAAAGCCTTGAAAGCCTCTTCCAGTTGTAGATTGAGAACTTTTACTGCAACCTCCATCCCATTTGAAAGCGTTCCTTTATATACAGAACCAAAACCACCAGTGCCAATTAAGTTGCTTTCATTAAACCCGCTTGTCACCCTTAGAAGTTCTTGGTATGAAACTTTTCTCCAATGTTGGTCAGGCAACAAGATAGCATTTGTTGCAACTTCCTCATTCCTTTTCATGCGTACTATTAGTAACGTTATAAAGGTCCCTAGGAGCATTGCTGACAATATCCCTGGAACAATATACTTCAAGACATATTTTCTAGCCTTCTTTGAATTTGGTTTCTCTGTACTATTTGTGCATGGTTGAACATGGAGTCGCGGTGCACCACAAAGTGCAGCATTTGATGCAAATGATTGAGCAGAGAAGTTTTTGAAAGGACCACCTGTTGGAATTTCTCCTTGGAGTATGTTGATAGATAAATTTAGATACTTGAGCTGTAACAGTGTTTCTAGAGACTTTGGAATCACTCCCGACAGATTATTTTTGGACAGATCCAAGAATTCGAGGCTTAGCATGTTGCCAAATGAACTGGGAATATGGCCATCTAAATTATTATTTTTTAATGAAAGACTAACCAAATCCTGGAGTCCCCCAATACTATTTGGTAGAGCACCAGATAATCGGTTGTTTGATAAATCCACATCTGTTGCAACTGTAAGTTTTCCAATACTTTCTGAGAGAGGTCCAGATAGAGAATTGGTTGACAAGTTAAGGTGCAAGATATATGTGAGTTGCCAAAAGGAAGGTGGTATTGTGGAACTTAACAAATTGGAAGCTAATGACAGAGTTCTTAGAGTTGCAACTAGATTACCTAAGCAGGAAGTACCGAACCAGAGAGTTGATTACCTCCCAAAAGTAATTCAGCTAGATTGTCGAGTTGACAAAGTTCATATGGGATGTATCCTTGCAACTTGTTATTGTTCAAATACAAACCTTGAAGATTCCCTAATCTTCCCACAGAAGTTGGAATTGACCACTCAATTCATTGTATCCCAAGTCTAAGGATGTCAGCTTGCTCATATTTCCAATATCACTTGGAATGTTGCCCCTCAAGTTGCAATTGCTTATATCAAGATATTCAAGCGATGTAGAGAGATTTCCAAAGGAAACCGGAAGAGTGGTGTTTAATGGATTTTGTGATAAAAGGAATCCCCAAAGATTTGTAAGATTAGCGAAACAAGAAAGGATGTTTACTTCTGGAGTTGAAGTATCAATCGCCAAATTATTTTTGCTTAAGCTAAGATACTCAAGGGTTTTCAAGAGACAGAGCTTGGTTGGAATAAACCCATAAAATGAGTTCGTGGACATATCTATCCTTTTAAGCTTAGAACCATTGGATATAAAGTTGGGAAATGGTCCGCTGAGTTGATTGTCTGCTACAAAAAACTTTTGTAGGTCTGGCACCCCAATACCTATGTCCGCAGGAAGGCTGCCTGAGAGTTGATTTCCAGTAAGAGAAATTGCTACGATCTTGGACATATTGAAGATTGTGGATGGGATGGGGCCATGGAGATTATTAACATGGAGTCCCAAACTCTGTAAATTTTTCAGATAACCAATTTCATCTGGTATGGTACCTGCCGCAATTCATATTCTTAGATGCTGCAAATCACTACATATATAAATTAATCTAATATAATAACAAACTCATCTTACAAGACTATTAGTTAAAATGTCGCATTTATAGTATTGATCGATTCACTAGTTTCACCAAATTATTAAAGAACATATAAATAGAAAAGGATCCTTATTTGTTAAAAAATGAAAAATAAAGAAGAAAAAAAAAACAACAACAACAACAAAGAGGGCGAAGATGGGTACATATTCAGCTACATAAAACATCTTGAATTTTGTATATGCTATGAAATTTCTTTATGCTAAAGACGTGTCCTTTGTATTTTTCTTTTTAACTCGGGCTTCCTTGCGCTCTTCATGTTGAACATGATGATTTCAATTTTCAATAGAATTCTCATTAATCATATCCCCAAGTTACGAAAAGCATTTTTTTTTTCCTTTCTCTTTTTGACAACAGCAAGGTGAGAGACTTAAAATTGAGTACTTAAAAAATTATGAATCATTCATGAGTAAGTAACTATGACCCCACATTTAATAAAGAAATAATCATGATTGGAATAACAAAATACGTTACTTGGAAGGTACCTGTCAAGTTGTTGTAGCTAATGGTAATCTCTGCTAACTGGGTAGAGTTCCCGATACTTTTTGGTATGCTTCCACCGAAGTTGTTATAGTCTAATGAGAACTGAAGAAGCTCTTTGCATTGCCAAAATTTGGATGGAAGTGGACCATCAAGTTTGTTGCGAGCCAAACTCAAGATCTGAATACTAGGAAGATGCTGACAGAAATCGTCCGGAATACTACCAGTCAAGTGGTTTATTGTTAGAGCCAAAATTTTCAAAGAAGACATGTTGAAGACCTCCAAAGGAACAGGCCCTTTTAGGTCATTAACCTGCACGTACAACTTCTCCACCTGATCTTTACTACCAACCAAGTTTGGAATTTCTGAAAAATCAGTACATACGTGTTTAAGTCATCAGCTGGTCCTTATGATAAGGGTTACATATAAATTAGTTTTCTTAATGCAATACTGCAATGACAAAGTTTAGCTACCTTCGAACATGTTATAATCAAGGTATATGACCTTGAGCATGGTTAAGTTCCCGATTTCTCTTGGTATGCTACCTGTTAATTAGACAAAATATGTGCATGCCGGCCTATGGTTAAGAAAAGTACCAAAAAGTAGGTTGCATAATCACTAGAACAAGTTAAGCTGATCGAGTCATACCTGTGAAATTGTTGTGTCCAAGTAATATCTCCTCCAGCATTTTTAACTTCTCTACTCTTGGTATGCTCCCTATAAATTCAGGAACGCATAATATGTGTTCCCAGAAAGAGAATAGGGGAAAAGAAATTAAAATACCAGATAAATAACAAGCATGGTGTTAAAACTTAAAACACAAGTAATGATCACCAAGAGTTCCATATAGCTTTGTTTGATAAGTACATACCGGATAGCTCGTTGTTTCTTAGATCAAGTACTTGCAGTGCAGATAAGTTGAAGATAGCATTCGGTATGAAACCTGAAAATTGATTACCATACAAATCGAAGGTTTGAAGTTCAGATAAGGATCCGAACCATGACGGAATGGTTCCTATAAAGTTGTTAAAGCTGAACCTAATCAACTTCAACCTCCGTAGACGAGACAATTCCGATGGCAAGGTACCATGGAAACTGTTGTTTCTGAATTCCAACTGAGCAAGAAATGATAGGTTTCCTAGTTGAGGAGGAATAGAGCCTGTGAGACCCATGTAAGAGAGATTCAAGGCTGTGACTCTAAGGTGGCCTACACCGCAAGTAACGCCAACCCAGTTGCAGATATTCGAATTCGAGGTAGACCAGTTGGTGGTCAATATTTTTTGAGGGTCACTAGTGATATGGGCTTTGAGTGCAAGAAGAGCAGCCTGGTCTGTGCTGATGTTGGTTTGAGCGGCTACTGTGCCTATGAATGAGTTCGACATATACGTACAACAGCTCAGGACGAGCAACAAAGTTAACGACAAGAGGGAACGAGTTCTTTCCATTGTCCTATACAGCAAACACTTTCTGAAAACTAAAGTGTCTGCAATTCGAAGACTGCTGAAAAGAAAATAATTTATTGACTACAAGGAGCCAGATGTATTTTATGGAATTTAAGGAGTGGAAGTAGTGCCTTCATTGATCCAACTAGCTAACATATACTGTGCCAAAGTGGACTAAATTAGCAGCTTCCGAAGTGGACTAAATTATCAATACAATACTGTGCCAAAGTGGACTCAATTATCAGCATCCAAATGCCGGCCAAGGCGTCCTTACCATTCCCAATATACTAATTAATCATATCTTTGACTTTAGAGTCGTGCTCACCTGAGCAATGACGACCCTTTGAACTTCTTTTCTTGCAGATCTTAGGAATTTTATGATTGTAACCGTTTATTATATATATTACGGTCAAAATTTATTTTAAAATTTAAAATTAAATATAAATAGTACATAATAATTTTTTATCACATGATGTACGATGAACGGTAACGATCACGAAATCCCTAAAATATCAGGAAAACAATAGGTTCCCTTTCCCTTGATATTCATGGTACTCTACCCAATTGAAAAGTGAAAATAATAAAATAAAAGATTTTTTTTTAAATTTTGGTGAATATCTAATATGAACACATATATGCATCAAATTCTCAAGCTCTAGAACAACAACGAGATAATTATATTGCGGAAATAATTGAGTAATCCAAATTTGAGTTTGTGGAGGAGAGATCAAATGGAATTGATAATTGACAGTGTATCAGCCCAAGTGGTCATTTGGATTACTTGCGTCTAGTTTCATTCTTGTTTTTCTTTTGCGTGTATTTTCATAATTTTTTAGATTTGATTGTGTCAAAGGTGAAGATTAAGAGTTTGGATGATGAGGTGGAATGGTTGATTAGCGAAGGACGTTCAGCCGTGTGGCTTCGAAAGTTTATATATTTTTTGATTTTCATTACTCATTGATTCTTATCTTACTCAGTTATTGACCAAAGTTTATTATACAATCACATTCCTTTTACCAAACACTTACAAAAAATGGTTCGACTTTTTGAACAATTTCCGAACCCATCATTAAAAAAATGAGAAATCAAATGTAAGTCTCAGTAAAAATAAAAATAAAAAAGTTGACATACCTCTCATCCAGATTTCCCCAAACGACGTTTTCTTCATTTATTGTTTGAAAAATTTGTGTCAATACGTCAAAGAACCAAAATACAGTTGAGTCTTTAAGTGTTTGGAGGGAGTGAGTCGTAAATCTTAAGTGAGATTTGTGAGAATTTTGGCATGAAATGGTGGCCACTTTGCAAAAGGAATTGCAAGAACTACTGACCAATTTGGTGGTCAAGGTTTTTGAGGCCATTTTTTATATGGACTAATTGTGCAGTAGGCAAGTCCTTTGGAGAGAGTGATACAATTGTTCCATGAACAATTTTTATTAAATCACAACAATTGTTCCATGAACAAAATACTCAACGAACACACCAAACTCATTTCCATTTAAAATTTACAGAAACAAAACTAGTATGTTCTGTTGGAGAGAATGATAAAATTTATCCAACCCAGACAGGAAGCACTGGAAGATTTAATCGCACACCTCTGGCAGCGTTGTCCAAAATCTTCATCTTGATTTTCTTGAGTGTGGATACAGCTTCCAGCATGTTTATCCTCTCTTCCGGTGATTCGGCCGCGCAAGCAAGGGCTAATCTCATTATGGATGATAAACAATCATTACAGGTCTCAAAGTCATGATCTTCCTGATGCATCCCAAGCAAATTAGCATCCACAACTGTAGATAATGAATTTGAAACCCATTGCGTTAAACTCATTTCCTCAACAAACATCTCATCTGTTGGCTTTCTTTTTGTAAATGCCTCCATGAGTACAATACCGAAACTGTACACGTCCCCTCTTGTCGAAACAATTCCTTCTGTTCCATACTCTGCAATAATTTAAGGGAAAAGAAATTGATTTTTTTTCTTAGTTAAGGACAAGATATACAAAATTGAAAAATAAACTAGCTGCAACAATACATCACCTGGTGCCATATATCCAATTGTGGCTAGGGTCATGGTATGGGTAACATAATCTCCTCCACCCAGCTTTGCAATGCCAAAATCAGCAACATGTGCAACCATATCTTCATCTAGGAGTATATTGCTTGGCTTCACGTCACAATGGACAACAGATATTGAATAACCATGGTGTAGGTATTCCAATGCCAATGCAACATCTATCATTATGTTCAACCTTTGTAAGATATTCAAAGATGAGTTTTGAGAATACAACCACTTCTCGAGGCTCCCATTAGGCATGTAGTTTAGTATCACGGCTTCGAAATCAATTTGACTGCAACAGCTAATGATTTTGATAAGATTTTGGTGGCGAATATTGCTTAGCATTTCACATTCCCTTTCAAAACTCTTGAAAGCCCCTTCCAGCTGTAAGTTGAAAACCTTTACTGCAACATGTATCCCATTTGAAAGTGTACCTCTATATACCGAACCAAAACCCCCAGTGCCAAGTAAGTTGCTTTCATGAAATCCATTTGTCGCCCTTACAAGTTCTAAGTGTGAAATTCTTCTCCAAAAAAAATTCAGGTGACCAGGCAGTACTTGTTACAACTTGCATTTTCTTTTAACTCGGGCTTCCTTTCGCCCTTTATGTTGAACATGGTGATTTAAATTTCAAAAGAATTCTCTTTAATCGTATCCCCAGTTTACGAAAAACATTTTTTCCCCCTTTTTCACAACACAACAGCAAGGTGAGAGAGGCCTAAAATTGAGTACTCAAAAAATTATGAATCATTCATGAGTAACTACCAACCCACATTTATTGAATCAAGAATAATCATGATTGGAACAGAACAATATGTTACTTGGCAGGTACCTGTCAAGTTGTTGTAGCTAATGCCAATCCTTTCCAACTGGGTAGAGTTCCCGATGCTTTTTGGTATGCTTCCACGGAAGTTGTTAGAGTCTAAAGAGAACTGGAGAAGCTCTTTGCATTGCCATAATTTGGATGGAAGTGGACCATCAAGTTTATTGCGAGCCAAACTCAATATCTGGATACTTGGAAGATGCTGACATAAATCGTCCGGAATACTACCAGTCAAGTAGTTCGCCGTTAGAGCCAAAATTTTCAAAGAAGACATGTTGAAGACAGCCAAAGGAACAGGTCCTTTTAGGGCATTAGCCTGCACGTACAACTTCTCCACCTGATCTTTACTGCCAATCAAGTTTGGAATTTCTGAAAAGTCAATACATACGTGTTTAAGTCATCTGCTGGTCCCTATGATAAGGGTTACACAAAAATTAGTTTTCTTAATGCAGTACTGCAACGACAAAGATTTCCTACCTTCAAACATGTTTTAAAGTCAAGGTATATATTGTTCAGCATGGTTAAGTTCCCGATTTCTCTTGGTATGCTACCTGTTAATTAGATAAAACATGTGCATCTCAGCCCATAGTTAAAAATGAAAAACTAATGAAAATGGCTTGAAAACTTTGAGTTTTAGCGATAAGGACAAAATAAAGGATAAAGTGAATAGTATTAGAATTGATTTTTTAGTGTAAAAATGTGGTTTTTGGTTAAAGTGAACAATACCGAGAGTTTTTCTTTAAAATTTCCTATTAAAAAAAAAATACCAACAAAGTAGGATACATATATAATCACTAGAAAGAGTTAAGATGATCGAGTCACACCTGTGAAATTGTTGTGTCCAATTAATATCTCTTTCAACATTTTTAACTTCTCAACATCTCTTGGTATGCTACCTATAAATTTAGCGAACACATAATATAAAGTCATTAAATCTGAACCTAATCAACTTCAACCTCTGTAGACGAGACAACTCTGGTGGCAAGGTACCATGGAAACTGTTGTTTCTGAATTCCAGCTGAACAAGAAATGATAGGTTGCCTAGGTGAGGAGGAATAGAGCCTCTGAGACCCATGTAAGACAGATTCAAGGTTGTGACTCTAAGGTGGCTTACACCGCAAGTAACGCCAACCCAGTTGCAGATATTGGAATTCGTGATAGACCAGTTGGTGGTCAATATGTTTTGAGGGTCACTAGTGATATGGGCTTTGAGAGCAAGAAGAGCAGCTTGGTCTGTGCTGATGTTGGTTTGTTCTGCTACTGTGCCTATTAATGAGTTCCGCAGGTACATACAACAGCTCAGGACGAGCAACAACGCTGTCGACAAGAGGGAACGAATTCTCGCCGTTGTCCTATACAGCAAACACTTTCTGAAAACAAGGAAACATACGTGTCTGCAACTCGAAGTTTGTATATATTTTTCATTTAGAAAATTAAAATTTATCTGATAAAGACTGCTAAAAACAAAATGATTGTTGACTAAAAGGAGCCTGATGTATCTTGTAGATTTCAAATGCCGGGTGCCATTTTCAGCTGCATTTTTTTGGATTTTATTGTGATCCTCAACTATTTTTTATGTTTTTTTTATGAGTCGGTTTACATTCTTCGCTGATTTGCATTGCTTTCATAATTTCTAATTTCAGGGAAAAAAAATTTAAGCATAAAAAACATCAGAAGCCAAAGGGTTGACTATTAGACAAAGACAGTAGTGTTGCGCAGAAGCGTCAATTATGAAACTAATATACCAATACGAAAATTATATGACAAGTCAAACAATCCATAATTTATACTGATTTGACGTAAGCTTACGTCCAATTTGGAGACAACGAGGAAATTACATTAATGTCAAATTTGAAAATTACAAATAGAGTTTACTCTCAAATCTCAAAAACCTCTCACTCAAACAAAGAACAAATAGAAAAGATGGAAATACATACCAAATCCCTTCTCACCCAAAAACCACAAAACGTAGGACCAATATCATTGACACAGTGATTATCCACAAAGGGGAACATTTCTTCCTCTTTTCTTCCATAGAGCGGTCGGCCCGGTCTCTCTCTCCCAAATCTGCAACTTTTAGTTGCTGCCTTATATACATGGGCTGCTGCGTGCTGCCTTAAATCCTAAGCCACTCACCTGTCATTCAAATGGGAAACAGAAAAGGTCCAACAAGAATGAGCCACAAGGTAAAAGGATATTCGGATTATTTTTCTGGGGATCCTAAGGATCCCATGATCATGATCGTTCATCGTAACGGTCAGAAATCATTTCAAATTTTAAAATTTAAAATTAAATATAAATAATAATTAACGAAAACTGATCGCACGATGTACGATGAACGATCATGATTATGGAATTCCTAGGATCCCTGGCGAGGATCTTTTCCGGTAGGTAGCTTACCTCTCAAAAATTCCCAATGAGAAATGTGGTTAGTGTAATTCAAGCACACACTTCTTCGAACAATTTCAGCGCTGCTTGAAAAGAATAAGGTTTTATTATTTGAGTTCGGACCCATTCAAGATTAAAAATTTGTTATTTACAATTTCTTGTAACGATGCCAAAAGAAAAGCACCGTTTGATTAAGATTACGAAGAAACGTCATTTGCGGGGAATGGTGGTTTGTTTGGTTTTGTTACTGTAGCTGCACTTGGAAGAAATCCTAAGTTGCCTGTATATCCCCTTTTGAAGAGAATGAAACTCGTAATTCAGTGGAATTTTGGTGATGGCCATTTGGATTTGGCTCTTGAAGTGTTTGAGGCGAATTTGGTCTAGGGTATGTCAGATATTCGTTTGAGTTGGATTTAGTTGCGCACGAGTTAGAGATTAGGTTTGGATTTAATTTGGTAGATATGAAGAGCGTGGTTGTATCTATAATTTGGTACTAGATTGCCTACATACTTTCTTTGTGAGAGATCAAACCACATATAGGTTAGATTTGGATGTGTTTGGTTGTGTTTGAGATTGTGTTAGAATTTAGTACTATATTTCTTACACTCTCTTTGTGAGAGATCAAGCCACATGCAGTTCAAATTTGGGTTTGAGTTTGGTTATATTTGGTACTAGATTGCCTACGTACCATTTGTGGGATCAAACTAACATAGTTCATTGTTTAGAATTTGGGTGCAGCTTTGTGCTATTTAGGTTTGAAGCGGCTTTGTACTATCATGACGGCAACATCCATCCCATCTAAAAATGTTCCTTGGTATGTTGAGTCGAAGCTCTCAATGCCAAGTAAGTAGCTTTCACTAGTTTTTTAACGATGATCACTTGCTAAAAATTGAGAGTTTCTCTTAAATATGCTCTTGCACCAGTGGTCCAGCCATTTTTTCATCAAATGGGAAACGATTTCTTTTTGCATTGGCAAAACAAGCATCCACAAAATACTGCAAATCCCCACACCAAATCAACGCTACTTCTTCCTGCAAGTTAACAACCTCAGACAAGCACAGGTTGGCCCAATCAATGCCTCATGCTCACGGGCCATAAGCACTCCAACCCATCAACTTTACAGATCCAGAAATGCTGTAACCTCATGGGCATAACTGTTTCTGTTCGAAACCATCACATCTCTTTGAGTATAGTCAAAGCCCAACATCAAGCCATCTCCCTGTCGCGACACGTGATGCTTTAGGGACCGTGAGATTCATCCGCCCTAGTACCCTACGGGCACTGCAGTGGGCTCCCCAGTAGCAGCAGCAGCAGAGGCTGCAGAGTTCAGACGACGACGACCGACCAGGCTTCGACCAACGCATCTAACTACACAGTTGCCATTTTATCCTAGTTTTGACCAAAAGTGTGAACACTGTTCCTCCACTGACGACCGACGCTGCAGTTTATGGTAGTAACTATTTAACCCACTTTCTTCTCATATTTATATGAAACTAATTTGAAATTGTTTGTCTTATTTTGCCAACACATTAAATAAATAGTTTTATATGAAACCACAATCATTACCATGATGAAAGTTATTGTTATAGTTTTGTAATAGATTTTTTTTTTTTTTTTTTTTTCGGTGATGTTTGTATATTTTTCGTCACAGGTCGATAAAGTTCTGTTAAAATGTAAGGGGTGGTCTTTTGAACTTGGATCCATACGATTGGTCATTCTATTAAAGTTGAAAGTGAGAATATTACAAAGAAAATTTACGTTGAATCTAAAAATTATACATATAAAAATGTAATATAAGAATAAGAGAATGGTAAGAATTCTTAAATCAGATACAAGACAGATTGTAAAACAAAATCATCTATTGCCAGTATTTCACTCGAGATAAATATGTCTAAAAATGAGAATTTTACTAAGAACAAGAATCAGATATCCACTAAAATATAAGACATTCTTCGTGAAATATGAATCTCATCTAGAATTGCTTGTTTAAAATCTTTAAATCACTTTTTATGTGATGACTCATTCAAATTTCATATGAACGAAGAGCTTGTTTGAGTGCTAAATAACTTTAAGTAAGTAGTCTGACTTATATCAACAGTTACAATTTTAGTAAATTATGATCAAATAAGTATACAAAACTAATGGCTTTTTAATATGAAAACACACATAAAGACCTACATATTTTTCGGTTAGAAGATGAGTCTATAGGACGAAGACTTAAGGTAAAAGGAGTAGAGGAAGACACATAAAGACTTGAAAATAGATTTTAAGAAAAGATATAGAGTTCTTAGAGCTAACCCAAAATATGGCGCAAAACTGAAGAGAGTAACGTTCTATGATTCATGCAGTCAACTCCGTTTAGTAGCTAAGCTTTGATTATTGGTGTGGTGTTCTAACAAAAAAAAAATATTGTTAAGGGGATTTTTTCAAAGTGTGCCTCACTATAGTCTTTATGTTATTTTATATTTTTAGCACAATGTTTATAATGTTAGTACGAATCGGAAAAATATCTTCTTCGGATTCCTTTCACCTAATCCTTCTTATCAAACAATTCGAGCCTTTGAAATTTGATCCAACTGCTAAAAATAAGGAACCACTTTAAAAATTATAATAACTTTATCTGTTGGATTAAATTTCAAGAAACCGGATTGTTTGATGAAGAGGATTAAGTGAAAAGGATCCGGAGAGGGTTATGCCTATAACAGTTCCTAAAACTATTAGAAAATTATATTCAAATGTAATAGTGGTCAAAACAGTTGTTCAGACAAAATGATTGGGCATGCCCTTTTCACACTTTGGCTAATGACTAGGCTACTAGTTGTAAAGAAAAATGTCCAGGGCTGTGAGATGAGCTGAAACAAAAGTGGAGTTTGTGTTTTCAAGGTGAATTCAGATAAATCATTTTTCTTCTTGTCCAACAAAAAGAAAGGAATTTTCATTAAAAAAATAAAAAAACTAATGAAAATGATTTGAAAACTTTGAGTTTTAATGATAAGGATGGAATAAAAGATAAAATAGATAGTACAATGATTGACTTTTTAATATAAAAATGTGATTTTTCGTTATAGTGAACAGTACCAGAAACTTTATGTTAAAGTTCCTAAAATTAAACTTGGACTATGCATGATCCAAAAAACAAGCAATTTTCTTTTGATGAATGTAATCATTTTAATTTACATGCGAACCAAAATTTTGTTGTGCCTTTTTTATGAGTTATTTGCATAAAAATGAAATAAAAATTACTCGTTGATTGTTATTATATAGTATTGATGCTCGCAAGTCGCAACCGTTTTAAAAAGATGTGTCTGTGAGTAAAAACTCAACCTATTATTTTATAGGGGAAACTTGAAATAAGTCCAAATTTGTAAGCAATTACTAGATATAGTCCAATTTTATTTAATTATTGGTTTAAGTCCAGTGACTCATTGTCCACGTCATTTTATTATCATTTTTTGTCAAAATTACCCCTCTATTAACATTATCTTTTAATTCTAGATTTACTTGTATTATAAAATTAATTATAATTGATTATTTATCATTAAAGTAATCCCATAATTGTAGGATTAGTTTGAAATAATATTATCTCTTCTTCCTCATAACTCCCCTACAAACAGTATTATTTTTTATGCGTGGTGATCTTCTTCCTCCTTGGAACCCATAACCATGTGTGTTCATGTTGGAACATTT